GGTAAGTTTAAGATTTTGAAAATCTCTTTATAAAATTTATATCTTAAACTAGGCCTAGCTTAAGGGTTAGATAAGAGTACCTTGAACTTGAATATAGTTTAACTATGTTAGACTAGAATTCGTTTAAGAGTTGGTAAACATCAAATAGATTGGCCTTAGACTAAGAATAGTTTAAGGATATTGTTGAATGACAAATGATGAATATTGTATGATGTATGTTGAATAAAAATGTTGAATATGAATGATGAATATACATGTTGAATAATTGAATAATGAATGTTGAAAATTGTATATTGATTATTGAGTATCTGAACTGAACATTATGTGCATGATATCAAATGGTTGATTATGAATTGAGATTCAATTTATGTGGATGTTCGACGCATTAGATATGCTTACTCAGCTTTACCGCTGAGCGTGTAGTATGTTTTATTTGCTACACGCAGGTCAATAGAATAATGTGACGTGATCCTGGAGGCAGACGGAGGCGAGATAGTCGGAATGGATGTGATGGTTTTGAATTAAAGAATATAAATAAATTATGTTTGTGGTTATAATTTGTTAAGCTTCCGCAATATTGAAAACTCTGTACTGTTTATGATATGAAAAATATTATTGTGATAAATAAAAGTGTTTGAAATGTTTTAAATTTTACGATTACCAAGTTAATACTTTAGTCCGAAAGGGGCTGCAGACCTGGACGGATTAGGGTGTTACATTCCTTCCTGAATATAGCTTTGGGAAGACCTTCTACTAACCCTTCTTTGGACAGCTTGTTGAGAGTTTTGAAGTTGAGATGACTCAACCTCTTATGCCAAAGCCATAGAAGGTTAGTGTCACCTTTGCTGATTAGACATGTTTCCTTGACATTATCCCACATCACTTCATAGATGTTTCTGATTCTCTTCCCAGTGAGAATCACTTCATTTGTGGAGATGTTCTTGAGAGATGCCATGTCCTTGCAGAATTCCAAGGAATAACCTTTATCACAAAACTGACTTATGCTAAGAAGATTATAATTGAGACCTTCTACATAAGAAACAGCTTGGATGGTTAGTTCCTTGTACACCAGATTTCCTAGCCCTTTAGTAAGGCCAAAATCATTGCTTCCTCCAAAAGTAACTCTTGGACCATCATAGGGAATTAGATTGCTCAAAAGGCTCGCATCACCCGTCATGTGTCTTGAGCAGCCACTGTCTAAGTACCAGACACCTGGGTACTTAGCGGCTTCCTGCATTAGGAGGAGGAAGATTTTGGTACCCAATTAAGTTTGGGTCCAGAGTAGTTAATGGTGTGTGTCCCTACATCAAGTTTGAAGTTGCAGGGAATTTTCCTTGCAGCTCTAAACTTGTTGGGATTGTAATCATAGTTGTAGGCATAAAACTTCCTATGTGCAGGAGGTGCAGGTTCCTGTTTCCTCCTAGCAAACCAAGGTTGGTAAGACCTATAGTTTTGTCTAGGTTGTGCATAGTGTGGCCTGTGTCGGTTATAAGCATACTTAGGTGGCACAAATAATTTCTGGGGTGGAGGATGACTATATCTTGGCATAGTTCTCCACTCAGAATTTCTCAGAAAACTCCTATCTACCCCATAGTGAGTATAGCCTCGTGTATAGTGGGGATTAGAAGGTTTTCTTCTGAAATTATTTCCTCTTTGAGGTCTGTCCAGCTTCCTATAGTTCTTATGATGGACTACCTTTTTGGGAACTTCTGTGGGTTTCTCCTTTTTCCTTTCCTTTCTGCCTATTTGGTTTGGCAGTAGGTTTAGGAGGGATGAAAGTTGTTCTCCCTTTCCTTTTGGAACTGGAGGGGTCAAACCCAAGTCCTTCACGACCCTTATGTTTGGTCATTTCAAGAAGCTTATCCACTACTTCTTTCAACTTAAGTATCCCTAGCTCCTTGTTAAGGGATTTCACCTTTTCAGAGAGAGATTCATTTTCAGTCTTGAGTTGAGTGATCTCATCCAGTTGACTTTTCCGACCTTCAGTCAACTTGAGATTCTCTTCACTCAATAGTTTGTTCTCCTCTGTTAAGGAAGAATGTTTGAGATTTATTTCTTCAAAATCTACCATCATCTTTTTGAACTGGTCAAAAAGATTTTCAGAAGTTGGTATGCTTTCATAAGAAGATGAGCAGGAGGTTTGTGAAGTTACCTCTTGATCAGCATCATCTTTGGCCAATAGGCAGAGAGAGTCATCTTCTGACATAGTCCACTTATCCTCTTGGTTGGACTTTTCAACTCTGCGCTCCATGCAGACGAGGGCTTCTTCATCCGAGCTTGAGCTGGATGACTCATCACTTTCAGCAGCTACCATTGCCTTCTTTTTCTTCTCGTTTCTTTCTCTTTCTCCGTACTTCTCCACCTTTGGGTACGGGCATGCCGACTTCCAGTGGCCAGGCTTCCTGCAGTTATAACACAAATAAGATTCAGGAGGAGAGTCACTTACCTGTGGCTTTCCCTTGGATGGCCTTCTGATTGAGTCAGCTTTCTTGAAGAACTTTTTGAACTTCCGGAATTGCTTGATCATCATGGCTAATTCCTCATCGTAGTTCTCCATTTTTGAGCTGGACGGCTGGCTGGGGGAAGGGGTGTCACAGCTTCTTGGGCATGTCCCTTCACTTGTTGGGACTCTAGGAGTTGTCATCAGTGCTGTGGGGAAGGGAGTGACTTGTTCTTCCTTCTTCTTCTTCAGCTCGTGCTCATAGGTTCTGAGCTCATCAAGAAGACCTTGGACAGTGTAGTTCTCCAGGTTTCTTCCTTCTTCCATGGCTGTGGCCTTGGTGTACCACTCTTTTGGAAGTGATCTCAGTAACCTTACATTCTTTTCTTTGGGAGAAAGAACATGGTTAAGTGAGGCAAGATCATTTAAGATTTTGTGGAATCTTTCATCCAACATATCAAATGATTCTCCGGGAAGCATTTTGAAGCCTTTGAACTTCTCAAGCAGGACTTCTATCTTCTGCTTTCTCAAGTCCTCTGATCCCTCACATAGCTTCCCAAGACCTTGCCATATCTCCATGGCAGTCTTGAGATGTTTGATTTTGGAGAAGGTGATGGGATCAAGTGTCTTGAAGATGGCTGCTTTGGCGACGTTGTCCAGATTGTGCTTTTTGCAATCTCTATCATCCCATTTTTCCTTGGGCTTTGGAATGTACTGGACTACGTCTGGAGTTGCTGGATTCCTCTCAGGATTCTCCATTTGGATTTTCAAGGGTCCATCCTCAAGCACCATCCACATACAGTCATGTAGAGCGTAGAGGTGTGCTTCCATCATGATCTTCCAATCATCATAACCTAGAAGAGAAAACTTGGGCAAACCGTGATCCATATTGTTCACCATT